GGTTCTTTAACATATGAGAACATTTTACTTCAATTTGAAACACAAGTCCTAAAATTCTACCCATACTTTCTGATGTATAATATTTTAGAAAGATATACAGTGGGAACATAGCTATAAGTTTTTGAATGTAGGTGGGGAAATTTTTTTTTTTTTTTTTTAATTTTTTGCATTATTTTTAATACAATTTGAAATCATTATTTTGAAATGGTTATTCAATGATTTTTTTATTTATTTTTTTTCATTAATTTTAATTTTTTTTCCATCTTATTTTGTTGTTCTTATATCAAAACATTCAAGCCATTTTTGCATTTTTATTTTTTTTCTATGACTTTTAGGTAAGCACAAGGATTGAAAATAAAGAATAAACTGCTGATGAGATCTGAACTTGCATACTTTATCTTTAGAAGTTTAATTTTTAATTTAATTCGTCTTTCAGTGCATTTTATTTCTACAGACAAGTTGCATATGATGATAGTATTTTCATAGTTTTATTTCAATAACTGCCCAATACTAGTTAATATCTATAAAATTAATCAAAATGTTTCAATTTATCAGTTGTCTTAAGAATTGATATTTAAATAAGTTTTTAAAAACATCAGTTTTTCTTAATAATAAACTTAAAACTAAAATATATAAATAGTCATGTTTTATCTAATTTTTCCCACAAAATAAAAAGTTATACTCTTTGCCTTGAATATGTAGTGGGTTTGTCTGACAATCATGTATTTCCCCTCTATAATATAAAATTTTACAAACATACTGAAAAAAACAAATTTAAATGTATCGGATATTCAAATTATTATACACAGACTTGCTCCAACTAGTGTTTGTTGGTAACTTGGAATTTCAAACACATGGTCTAGTGTACAAAAGCATTAGTTAAGTGAATTGGATAACTATATTCTTCAGTGCAATGACTCATTTTATATATATATATATATATATATAACGTCTGGTTTATTGTGAGAAACAAGTAACTTCACAAGGGCAAATTAACTAGATAGTATTAATTGATATAAAATATCCTCTAGCATGAACAACAGAGCAAGAACAATCAATTCCTGCAGATTGAATAAGGGTTCAGTTTGAAATTCCCAGAAAGCTACCAACAATAGACCCCTGGAAAAATACAGCCAAGATGAGGACATAAATCTAAGGAAAGTATAGTATTACCTTAATTACTCATCTTAAAAATTTTTTAAAAAATAAAAAAAAAAACAAATTATAATAGAATCAAATTATTTGTACCTTTCTGATTTCCTTTTTCTTTCTTTTATAAACTTAACAACACTGTTTCTCATTTTATTTGATTATTACTTTTTTTTTCTCCTTCATTCTATTGATTTATTCATGTAACTCTGTAGTAAATACTTTATTTTTCTACTTAGGTATTTCATTAGAAAGCTAATTTCAATAAGATTATTATACAGCTATCTGTTCCTGTTATGCATTTTCTGTTGATTTAAATATTTCTGAATGATCCTGCATGTACATTGTTCTGCAAAAGAAATGTCTTCATACCTGGGTATCTTATTCTTACAACTAGTATCTGAAATATGGGTTAATTTTTAATCTTCTATATTGTCATTTTATATATATATATATATATGATATCAATTATACATTGATAATCATAAACAATTCTCAATAATTAAAGCATACAACAGTATTCTTTAAGCTCCTCCACACATGTTTAAGTAATAAACCAGAATTCCATTATCTCTTTTGCTTTGAAACCTTCTCACAATGCTCATATAATCTCCTCCTCCTCTTTCTAGACTTACCTAAAAATAAAACCCAAATTCATTAGTCTATTTTTTTATGTTAAGGACTCCAAGATGTGTTTGACATATTTGACAGGCATGTTAACATTTTACCTCTTGACTATAAAAGGAGGTTTAATTACTTTGTACTTCATTTTTTTGCATATAAAGGGGAAGTGCTGAAAAGTTCATGGTTCCTGCAAGCCATGTCTTCAAATCTGTCAAAAATGCCAAACATTTATTTATTCATTTTACATCATACAGTCATTAATTAAAATACTGAGATTCTTCATTAGACTTATTGTAATTAGACAGGACCAGGTTATTTCTAGAATTTATAATAATAATACATCTGGATTCACTTTTATTTTGAATTTCATAATAAGAAAATAATATTTTGATAAAAGATCAATATTTGTGAATCAAAGTATTATCCTTCTCTTGAAGTGAAATACTTTATGCATATATGAAATAAAAAAGATAACAGTAGTAATATTAGCTGCTATATAAACTTTTTTGACAATTAAAATTACAATACCATTCCACTGAAAATAAATATAAGTTTTTAAAAAAATGTTTGCAACTGATTTTCCATCGCATGTATAATAACATATGCATTAATTTTCTTGTTCATCTCATATTGTATAGTCATATTTATTCCACTTAATTGTAGTATTTTTCCCCATGGGTGATAACTTTTATCTATGCTCATATTATAGTTAACGGTACAAGTCTGATAAAAATAGTAATTGACTTGTTGAAGTCAATATTAGGGTGAAATCAAACATAATATAGTTAGATGACTGCTCTTGTTATTTTTGGGTATATAATCCTGTTTCGACAATCCTGCTATCACCAATAACTGAAATTTCATTCACTGTATAGATTTTGTTCTTAAATAAGCACTTCAAAGCTGATAAGTTTGTGAGATTAATCATATTCTTATTAGAATCAAAAAATTACTTGGCTTTTACTGCTATCTTAAAATAAACATGTCAAAGTTTGGTTGTTTTTAGAATAAAATGCAATACTTCTCTTAATAAGTACTAAAAAAAAATCTTCATGGTGAGATTATAATTTTTAGCGATTGAAATAGTAAATCTCCATTTTTGAGTCTTTATGCATCTTGGGGTAGTTGGCTAAGAATAATCACATAGCTTATATCAACTTCAACAATAAATAACTGAAAAATACTAATTTTTATGATATGATTATCATATATATGTTAGTACTTCCATTAACCTTTTTTGTCCTTGTCTCGAAGTGTAAGATGTAAATTTTTGACAAGACTCATATTTAGTGCTTAATATGATAAGTCTATTTGCCTGCTTACACATGCATGCTTTTAACAAGCATAAAGCTATTTACATTGTAAGATGCTGAAAGTAAACCATTTTCTTGTCTGATTAAAAATTGCAGGATATTTTTTCGTACTATGCTAACACCATAAGGATTGCCTATAAAATAATTTGTGAGCATTAAGTCTTCCCCATTTTGACATAATAAAAGTGCTGTATTATAAATGTACGTGAATGAAGGAATTCATTTTTAGAAATCAAAACTTGGTAAACAAGATGATTGACATGTGCTGAAAAGGATATTCATTATTTTGTTTGTCTTATAAACTAAAGCAAGTGAAACACTATTGTTGAAAGTTGACTATAGATACCTTGGCGATAAAGAAAAATTGTAAAGGCTAAGAGTTAACATTTTACAAAGTGTTTTTAACATGGCTTCTGATTAAGTTTTTACAATTAATATCTATAAAAAAAATACTTCATGATCAACTACTTTGAGAGACATTAAAAAAAAACGTAATATGACCCTACGTAATATGTAATGGAAAATTTAATTAGCTCATAAAACATTCTGCCCTTTCATAATTATTAAAATATAACTATTATATAAAAACTCTCTTAAAAGTTAAATTCTCATGTAATATTTAAAAACTAAGCAATTAAACAATCCATATTCTAAGAAAAACTGATTTACTGTATAGGAACTTTAGTCTTTCATATTACATGAATAAAAAATTATGAAAGAATGCAAGTTTCCCCTGTCAAATCCAGACAAAATATTCCTCTTGTAAATTACTCTCATGCTTCAATATCCAGCCAGTCTTTCTTAAATGCCACTGTACTCTGAGTTAAGATGATTGGCTGAAAATATCAGAAAATAATTGAATGTCATTTGATACATTTTTTTCTGTTGCTTCTCATATTATTATTATTATTATTATTATTATTCATTCTCAATTCTTGAAATAAGGAATTATACCCCAAGTTATATTGACTATGTACTCTTTTTGCCAGAAAGAGGACTTTCCATCAGATGACCAATCTCTGTTCAATTTTTCTTTGATTACAATATAGAATATCCTTGCATGCCTTAGCAATTTTTCTCTAGAAACTTTGATAAACTAGCCACTTGTTTGTATTCCTTTTTAATATTTTGATGAGCAAAAATCAAAACTCTCTGAATTTTGATTAGTACAAAAGAATGAAGATATTTCATGAGGTTTGGGTAATAGATACTACAGTACTATATATGATTGGATTTTGTCAGTTGTAAATTAACCTGTCTTATGATAGAATTTATTATATATTTGGATTATTGAATAATTTGATTATTGTAGATTTTGATGGTTACATAGAAGTTAAAATTTTACTATGTTAAATGAATGTATCTACATATATTCTAGTTGGTTTCTTATAGTTTTAATGAGAAAGTTTTTATTCTATAGTCAATACATCATTTTAGTAAAGTCAGTAACCTTATTGTTAGACATTGAGTAATAAACCTTGAGGGTCAGTAGGTGTTTCAGTCAAACATTCCAAAAGTTTGAGAAGGCTTTAATGAGTTATTTTTCATTTAAAATCTTTTGGTCTTTTATTTCAGGCTTCTTGAAGAATGAGCACTTCACACATGCCTGCCTTTTTTTTTTTTTTTTTTTTTTTTTTTTTTTTTTTAAAGTGCACTTTCAGAAGCTACTTAAGCCAACATCACTTTTTCTTTTGCAAAACTTCTGTATTTGTTTTTAGAAAAAGAATTTTGATTTTATTTTTGAATATTCAACAAAAGAAATTGTTTTGTCTGCTGCACATCCACGCTTTTCAAATTATACACGCTATAAGCACTTAAGTGTATCAATATTACTCCAATTTTTCCTTATTTTCAAACTTAAGATCCCTTTTTTGTTGCTGCTGCTTTTGTATGCTTCTTTTCTACTGCTTGTAGATCTGGTAACAAGTACACCTATTAAGGGGGAGCGGTCATCCAGCCCTTCCCAAGGCAGCACTCCGGTGCAGTCTAACGCTTTGCCCAAGACCAAGCCCGTTGGAATGGTCAAGTGCGTTGACCACAATGTTACCACAGATTCCAATAATGTTCCAGCTAAGTCTGGCGACACAAGCCCCTCAGTCCAACGACAGCACAGCTTGCATGGTGTCCCTGCAAAATCTGTTCAAAATAAATCCCCTGCTCAGAAGCCTCTCGGCCCTGTAAAAGGGGTTGCTCGAAGTGTAAGTGTTTCCGGGGCACCAACCGAAACTGGTACAGTGGAAAAAACACCAGGTAGGTAGCCAGCCCTAATTAATTACTATGGTTACCACTCCTGATCTGGGGTGGGGTAGGTTGGGAATAACAATCTCTTATTTCAATATTTATCTTAAGGAACTGTAGTGTTGGTGAGTGTGACTAATCATAGTAGGAGGCACCTTTTCATTTACAAATATATTGATTTGCCTGTTTTTTTAATTGTGTGCATGTGTTTTTTATGGCAGCCTTCACTTTTTTTTTTTTTTTTTTTTTTTTTGTTGACTTTTTATTTATTTATTTTATTTCAGATTATTTTTATTTTCCTAAAGCTTATGCATTGGTACCAATTTTTTTTTAATGTTTTGAATTTTTTTTTTTTTTTTTCCCTCAAATAAAGACATTTAATAAAAGAATGTCAATTTTTACTTCAGGCACATTTTTCTGCAGCTATGTTGAAGTTTTGGATTTTGTCCAAATAAAAACACTTCAAAATTTCATTTTTGCTAGTCATTTTGACATTATTATTATTTAGATGGTTAATTAAAATTTCGAAAATTTTAAATATAGTTGGTGCACATCACGTGATGGACAGAACACTAGTATCTAGTTGTAATATTTTATTTTGGATAATATTGTCTATTTTTGCATAATTATGCAAATAAAATTTTAAATTATTTATGCAAGGAAAAAAATACTAATAAAGAGATTTTAAATTTGCGAAACATTTAAAATTCCTCTTTTTTTTTTTTTTTTTTTTTTTTTTTTTTTTTTTTTTTTTTTTTTTTTTTTTTTTTTTTTTCTTTTTTTTTTTTTTTTTTTTTTTAAGTTGACATTAAATTGATAAAGGATGTGTGCTTAATGTAATAGTTACCTTCTGGACAGAAAGTGGAATCTCTGAGCCAAGTCCAAATTCTACCCTTGTGTACAGCATTGACTTTTAAATAAATGCACTTGCGGGGAAAAGCATGAATTTTTTTTCCCCTCCTCTGACCAAAATCTAAGGATGAAATAGCAGGGTAAATTGGGCTGTCTAGCCTTGGATGACATACAATCTATGAGGATTGCTCTGAATATAAAACTGCAGAGATGGCAGTGAGGAATGACTCCATCTTTCCCAAGAAGTCCTAATGATTCCTAATAAATGAAAGGAATCTGGAGTCATGATTATCCATGTCCTGAAGAGACACAGAAAAAAAGGTTTGGTTATAATGATTTAAAAATTATCAGCACTACTTATTGAAACCTTCAAGGAAGTTTCCACAAATTACATGCTAAGTAAATATTGTATGTATAAAGAGCTTTGATAAATAAATTTGAAACTTTATAATTGCAACATTTGGTATACTGAATAAATAGCTGATTCAGTGAACGACAGATATTTAATCTCAAGCCACTTAAAAAGACAGGATATTTAATCTAAGATACTTATTCTATTGCATAAGTTTCAGCAGTTTCATTATTTATTAAATTAGTGATACCTCCCAATGTGTAGGATAAAATTAATCCCTCTCTAGAATATGAATACTTCTAATTTGCTAATGATAATTATTTAGTCTGTCATCTATCCTGATTCAGCTTTGGAAGCTTCTTTCTTTTTTTTTCTTTTTTTATTTTCATGCTCTGTACAATTCCAAATTTGGTTTAGACAACTGAGCTACTTTATGTTATCAGAATATTTCAACCAATCCATTTTTCAGCCCTAGTCAGTTGTATAATCATAAAAAAAAATCTTCAGAAAATGGCAACTAGTATATTAGCTGCCATTTTCTGAATATTTGGATCAATACATTTCAACAACACTAAATAAAGGAAAGTGTTACTGCTGCTCATGTATCTAGATAATTCCAACACCTAATTGATCAAGCAAAGAAAATAACACTGCTGAAATCTAGTACTAACCTAACTTTACACTGGACTTTTCTAGAAGTTACAAACAAGTTATATATCCTTATGCTGATATTTATAATATCCATCTAAAAAAAAATCAGCAGAACACAATGTATAAGAGCTGTTTTGTTTATAAGTTTCTCTTAGAAAAAAGAAAACTGAAAAGTTTTACATTTTCTCTAGTTGTTTGTAGAGCAATTTTACAGGTGTTGTTTTTAGATGGGAATTCTATCTGCCTATGAAGTTTAGTTTCTTTATTACCTACTCTTTAACACTTAGCACTCTGCATCATTTATAAATATTACTTACCCTTTTACTGCATATGTAATCCACTCAAAATATAGTATTTTCTATATTAATTCTATATATTTGAAATTGCAGTAGCCTGACTCAATTTCAGTCAAGACTTTTAGGTGTTGCCATAGAAGAATATGACTACACAACCAAGAAATTCAAATTCAGCTTCTATGGCAGGACTAGCATTTTATTTGTCGAAAATAGTCACCAACAGTGCTAAAGCTACTGGTGTATGATACTTAAAGAATTTATATAAACCAATATTTCTATAATGAACCATTTCTTTTTCTATTGGAATTTTGGGATGTATATAAAGTGGACTATTTTTCATTCTCCTCAAGAATGAAAAAAAAAAATTAAATGGCAATGAAATTTGAAGGTAGTCAGGGAGACTATATTAGGTTTAGTGTAAGCTAGTTAAGGTAGGGATACCCTAGTTTAACAGGCTAAAAGGCCTTCATTAATGGTTGATTACAAACCACATTCTACTTTAAGGTATATAATTTAAGAGAAACAATGATAAAAGTGAACCTCTAGACCCAAGCTACTTATACTGTGAAATAGTTAATTCTTTGTTACAGTACGAGTATATCCAAACTCATAAGAATGTCAAATATATATTTCGGCAAGACTTTTTTTTTAAGGAAGCAAGAAAATATGGGAAGGGAATCGAAGGCTATGGAGTAGGGGAATTTATCAAAGTTGGTTTAATTATATACATCCCTCTAGTCTTAATGAATCTAGATTACAAAATTTTTTTCAACATTTAAAGAAAGTTGAACCCAATCCTATAAAAATAAATCTTTAGTTTTTAGTTTGGAATTGAATAAGTTTTTATTAGTTTGGCTATTTCTTTGAGAGGGATTTATTTTTGCTTAATAGGTTTAGGACTGCTTGTACTGATTTGTTTTGTAACTTTAGTCTACATTACAAGACACTATCATACTTCATGTCTGACTAATTTTCAGGTTACCACTTTATTTAGTTTTTCTTTGATTTCATATTTATTTTCTGACAGTGACTGAATTAGAAAATGAGGAACAACTTCAAAAGTGATTTAGGTAGATTACTGCTACTAATGCTGTTATTGCAAGAGACTTGGAATCTATTGAAACTGCTCTAAAAGTGTGACAATCAACTACTTTCGATGGAAGCTAGTTTTATAGAAAAGTCATTGCTGTTGGATCTTGTAAACTATTGACATTGGATAATGCATGTAGTAGTTATTAAAATTGTGTATGTGGGAGAGACCTTTACTATTTTTCTTGCTAGGATTACCTTTTAAGATAAGCATATGGAAGATAGCAAAAAGCTTAACTGACAATTTTTATTATGGAAATTTCATTTTTTTTTTTTTTTTTTTTTAAATCTTCAGAAATAGTTTTTTGTTTTCTGATTCCCTTTATCATAAGATTAAATAAGGAAAATAATGCCTATAGAAACACAAGCTATAATTAAGAAATTTTGTCTTCACTATTTTGTTTATGTAATAAATTACAAGGAACAGTATATGTAGTCAATAACACCACACCATATCTGAATTTTGTCACATTTTCCACCATTTTAACAAATAACAGAAAATGTGACAATGAAAGCTAAAGGGTCACTGGAATAGTGAATGATGTCTTCTAAAAACTAAAAAAATTGAGATAGGAAAATTGTTAGAAACAAGAGTTTTGAACTACTATGTCATATCAACCCTCCTATATATCAGTTTTCTCACATGAAGAGCAGTCTTGAGATAACAAATCTGATTCTACTGAAGGATGCTGTGAATAACATACCCCATACTGTTGTTGCTGCTGTTCATTTTTGTTTCATTTTTGTTTCATTTTGTTGATCTTTTGTTCTCTGTCCCAGCTCTACCAAAAATTTATCCTTGTCATCACTTGGCAGTGTTTTTGATCTTCACAGCCATTGCATGTCAGTATCAGTAAGCTGGAAGGTAACCAGATTTTATAGGGGTTTTGCCCAGTAGTAGTTGTGATTCTGTGGAAATTTCAGCCATGGTCACTTCTTTGTTGAAAATCAATTTCAAAATACAAACTAACTGTTGATATCTAATAGGTTTAATGATAACAAACTGAACTTAAAAGTACATGAGGAGTAAAGAATTATTAAACTTATGTGGCCTGGTTGATGATCTTTCATCAGGAGAATCATTCTAGAAGTAATTTGTAATAAATTGAGACTTCTCATCTGTGAATTTGTTGGTGGAACAAACCAGAGCAGTAGTGGTTAAAAGCCAGGACTTTGCCTATCTTGTCATCTGGTCTTTCTCCTGTTTTCTATCTCTGTGTATCACTCTGAGTATTGTCTGGCTTAGGTAAGAAAATCTGACCACTTCTGGCATTGATTTATTATATGTTCTTCAATAAGTTATTCATGACCTCTTTTTTTTTTTTTTTTTTTTTTTTGTCTCAAAAACAGATGACCTTTTGTGGTATGCATTCAGTCAAAGCTGCTACTATTGAATTTGGTAAAATATAAATGTTTGGAGTTTGATGAAATTTTAAATAAACATTGCAAGGGTTAGTCTTTGGAATTTTGGGAAAGATCTAATCTTACTAAATCTTAATGAATTCTACTTGGTTTATTTCGAGTTCACATTTTCCTAGACTCTTCTCTAAACTTATTTTATGGCTTCTAATTATTATTTTTAATCTGTTCTCTTTTTTTTCCCCCCTTTTTCTTCTTAATACTTAATTTCCTGAGTTTTTTGCACTTTAATCTTATTTCCTACTTGCAATAGTTATTAGACATTCTTAGGCAGTAAAATGTTGAACCAGGATTACCACCAGGTTATAACATATAGCAAGGAAGTTTTAAGGAAGATGGGAACAAAAATGGAA